TCGCTAACAGCTTCTATCTTGGTTGTTATGGGATTGTGGCTTGATCTTCTTCTAACATCACCATCCATGTTTAATGCCTGTAATCTGACTAAAATTCGGTTGATACCATCTTCAATTCTAGCAATAGGATTGTCTGATACGTCATCAATCTCTTGCGATCCTTGTTCGTCAAAAAAGTCTGATACCGTGGATTGTATTTTCCCTGCTGTGTTGCTATCCTTAGTTACCAATACATTTGAAAATATAACATTCGTATTCCAATATAAGAAGTACTGGTCTGAGTGCTGTCATCCTCATTCGCATATACCTCATGACCAGAAAAAATGGACGTGATCGTGGACGTGCATGACGATGACAGATCTGTATTGACTTTATTAACAGTCTCTTCATTTGCAATCTGCTCTTCCCTTTGTTGAATCTTTTTTTGTTTTAACAATGCTTGAGCCTTCACGTGATTTATTGGCACAATGACTGACATATAATTTCCTTTCTCTCCACTATGTTTTCTTGCCCAATGCCTTTGTTTGTACGACTTGGATCCTCTTGTCAACTCTTGTGAACAAAGCAAACATATGTGTGGATCACATTGATCCTTTTTCACCTTCTTGAAATGGATGGTGATGGTCGTTTTCATCTAAATATGGTAGTCCATTTTTCCTAAATGAAGATATTTAGTATTTCTTTAGAATAATCTTAGAATTCATTCTGAGCAATTTGAAAAATGATGAAAGGACAATGCTCACCTCAGCTGATTGTTGCGATTTTACATTGACAAGTTCGTTTGTCTCATCTTCCTCAATTTCAGAAGTCATTTTCAGAGCACGTTAAAAAGCAGAAGAGGACCGAAATGTGGTTTTAAAAAGCGTGAATGCCTCTTGCTTTTTATATAGTTATTTATTGATAACGTGATTACAAGTTGTCCGTTAGACAACCTAATCCCAAGTCCAAATGTGCTAAGTGCCAACCATGTGCTTATCATATCAAAATAAACCCATCAATAAAGTAAGTCTAACAGTAACTTAATACTACTTTCTACAGTGGGGACACCGACTTTATGAAATTGTAGCCAGTGTCGACGCCTGCGGTCATGCAGGTCATGCAACAATGCATGACTAAAAGTTTTCCCAAAAATGTTTAAAATTGAAAGGAAAATTGTTTGAAAAATATATTTCACATTAAGTTTTACACATCTATACGCTTATACTTTTTATTTTTTACGCGAAATAATATTAATCTAAGGCTTGTTTCCAAACGTCGAACTTTACATGCTCCGAACGCATTTCAAGCAATGAAAAATGAGACAAATTCATCATTATCTTTTGTTTTTAATGCATTCGGCACTTGTAAAGTTTGTCGTTTGAAACGGGCCTAACACCACATTCTAACAACGCATTCATATTTCATAGCGGGTGGATCTTGTAATGAATACTATAAATACTGCTCTGTGAAATAATAAAATCACTTAAATCAGTTCGTTCATTTAAGTTCATTCATATTCAGGGGCGTAAATAGACTTGAAGTAATGGGGGTGGAGAAAATTTGCCCTGCAAAAGGGCGTTGCCCACAAAAACAAGGACATGCATTACAATTTCTTGTGTAAACACTATTTCTGAGGAGAACGTTTCAGTGACAGTTTTTTTGCAGTGGTTAACATTTTCAGCCAATATGTTTAATTCAGCTATGCAAGTTTCTCATGACAGGTGAGATTTCTCTCTCTCTTCTTGTTCGTTAACAGATTCTTCTTCATCAACCTAAAAAAGACCAAAATATAATTACTTTAGAAATAACATTTTAAAAAATTAATTTAATTATTTCAACGTCATACTCAGATATTACAAACCACATCCATATTTTCCTCTTGCTCTGAATCAACCTCATTTATCTTGTTATCTATTTCAAATATTTCCTGGCATACATTGTGTATTTCTTATGCCACTTCAAGGTTTTCCTTCAAGGTAGCATATTTAAACAGTATTTAACGTTAAAAAAGAGGCATTGCCTGAAGATTGCTTTGGCATGAAACCCAGACTCCCCGCGTAGCAACATTTTAAGAAATGTAATTTATTAAATTATATGTACATATATATATAAAATAGACAATAGCTGTAATTTTTTCGGAGTTTCACGCAGTAGGGCGATCTTCAGGCAACTGATAGATTATTTATTATTCACTGCATATACAATTCGTTACGAGGTGATAAATTAACGACGGCATGCACTAAAAAGAGAGCGTTTATTTAAAATTTTCTTTTTATGTCCTTTTAGGATTAGTAGTCTTTTTTCAAAACAAACATGGCAGGTTTTTCGGTTTTGTTCGGTGGTGGAAGTTGTTTGATGAAGTCCCTCTTGATGCTGTAGTTTTGTTTGTTTTTTTTTCACATGTAACAGGGGCGGTTGGAAGGATCTAAAATAAATAAGAATACATTGAAACTTTATGGTATGAGTGTCCTTCACAATAACAGAGAGTTGCTTCTGCAACAGAGCAGAATAGCAAAGTTTTGTGCAACACGAATTATCAATTATTTCACATAAATTGAACGGCACTTATACAGAACTAACCAGCAATTTTCTAAGAGATCTATAACGCATGCTAAAGACTTTCATTTTATTTACCATGTACATATATAAGTAAGTGACATTTTACTAACCTTAGAAAAATGAAGCTTTGTTTGTGATGCTTCTACAACATCTTGGGATTTTGCCATACCATTGTGTTTATTTGAACTGTGCTTCAAAAAACTATCAGCATTCATTTCTGCACCACAATCTTTACATTTAACCTTTCGTCTATAAATTCGTGTACGTTGAGGTGTTTTTTTTTGCGCAGGGCTCCTGAACGTTATCATCTTTAATTCTAGTTGCGCCTCCCTCTTAAGAGAAATTTCAATTAAATTAGAAATGTTCTGAGTAAACATCAAAATTATGACAGCATACAATAAACTCACAACTCTCCTTCGGTAATTGTGGGTCTACAAACTTCGGTAAATATAACTAACCTTCCATTGAAAAGTAGTCTTTCTCGCCCAAATATACAAAATCACATAGAATTTGATGAAATTATTGGATTGAAGCTTGCTTCACGGCTTTTGACAATGCAAAAATTAGCATTAGCATGTTTTTACATTTGCAATCATTGTATCTGTTAGATTTTGTGATGTAGCCATCTACCTTCTTTAGTATATATTGACTTACACCAACAAATAGAGATATTACAGATAACTGTTATGATCACATTTAATGTTCAACGTCAATGTCTATGGTCTACGATCTATCGTACAATGGTTAAATTACTTATATTTATACAAGATATTACTGTGGATATATTTGTTTCTTTACTAAATATGGTTAATTTACAATCAACGGAAAGCTATTAGGAACTATAAAAAATATTGTGATTATTGCACATAAATATCTCTTAAAATAATCAATAATTAATTATTTACCAATTACAGGAAGAATATGAGAGCATATCTTAACAGTATCCAGCGGAATCTGTATCTGCATTTATAATTACTTCATCTTACACATCTGACAGACACGTTGCACTGTAGAATTAAGCCAAAATTGTCAAAAATGAAGGTTTGTTATTTCCACTTAGTAATCATTTAGTTGTTTTCAATGGTATGGCAATTTTTCTACTTCCTGAACACTGCCCTGCCACTTGACGGCAATATGCCCTGCAAAAACACAGCTTTTCAAAGTGTCGCACCCCAAAAGTTACGCCCCTGTTCATGTTATTCATGACGAATAACACGAACTCAACATGGGGGCGCATGCTGACGCCTGATGCATTTGCTTTGCTATATTTTGAAGAAAAAAGAGGATTTTTCAAAGTATGCGCCAACCACGGTCCGCGAACGATAATTTAATTGACAGTTCTGTGCAGCCGTGGGCGAAATTTGAGATATTCACATTCAATTCAAACGGAAGTTATGCGTTGAGAAATGACATTTTTATAAAGAGTAACTTGCGATATTTTAATAGCAACAAAGGCTTACAAAGCAAGATTCAGTCTCTTGCAATATCACACACTGTATCATCAATATTCCTTAAAGTGCTTATCTCACAATTTTTTTTTCGAATTTTCGTATTGCTTCTTCAAAAGTAATCTAAAACTTATAGTACAATTTTTTCATGCGCTGCATTGTTTTCGAATTATTATTGATCAAATATGAAATTTGACAGTAAAAGTTGATAATTGGCATAGGGCCTGGATCAAGTCTCTGTGACGTAACTTAAGGAACAAGTCAAGGGCTTGTTGTTATCAACGATTAGATGGCGGAGTTGAATTCTGATTCGGAAAGCTCTCATAGTTCGCAATGTGATTCGGAGTATGATTATATTCCCGGTTATGTCATCGAGGACAAAGCATGGAACATTAATGACCAGGAATATAATATAATAGATGAAAATCACGGCGAGTCCGAGTCCTATCTATACGCTGATGAACCAATGGCCGAACAAGCATGGTATGAAGACTACGTGGAAAAGTCAAATGAACATAAAAGCAACTTGAAATACTACAAAAAAGACTTGATCACACAGTTGAGTTGAGTTCTTGGTGAGTAATTTCTAATTTCAATTCAACTTATGAAATGTATTTCAATTCAGGTTTCAAGTTATGAAATATAGACATAAACATGCAATTTTCTATTCAAGATTACCATCGCTTTTTTTATTTACTTTTGGGTAAAAAATTGTTAAAAGATGCTCGATTACAATTTTTTAATGTGATTTTCTTTATTGATCAGGTGCAAGTGTGGTTTTTGTCACTTCTTCAGAATCCTCTAGAGGCCTGGTGCTGCCAAGAACTTAAGCCTGTAGCTGAAAGCTTAACACACCAGTTGGTTCTGGCAGATCTGTCAACTATTCCATGTTGTGTCACTCTACACCCAGGTTTCAGACCAGTTTGTTTGGAAAAGTGGTTGCTAAAAATGGCTGCTAGGAAATACAAAACCAGAGAACAAAGACGATACAGAGAAACAGGATCTGAAAACATGTATGATAGCATATTATGTTATTTCCCAGTATTTAAGTATATTTTAGTGTTATGACACATTAGTAACGATTTGGCTTTATATTCAGGTCCTTACGATGTGTTGCATACAGAGAATTCACATCTATGATTTATGGATGCTTAGGACAAGAAAGAAGACCATTTCCAGCATGTGCATACCATGCAATAAGATCAAAATTTAATGATAAAAAGTTGGAATTTAGAGGGTACAAAGAAAATGAAATAAATGAGTGATGTGAAAATTAAGTTTTCCTATTTTTTGGGCACTCTGCCACATGTTTGTGACCTTTCATTGGCTTCTTGCATGTCAAACATTTTGGCTGACTTTTTTCTTTTGAAACTGCCACTTTAGACTGACAGCTGAATGGCACACTGGTAGCTGCTGGCATGAAACAAAGACATTTTTATTATTTAAAATGATTTTCAAACCATGTTTAGCTACAACATGTTATATAATCATTATTAATTACCTGGAATTGAGGGGGGGACATCATTGAGCACAATGCATTTTCGACGGACCTGTTTTAGTAGCACCTTTGATCTGGGTTGCTTTTGCAGCATGACATTCATTGGTGGTGGTGGAAAGTGCCATCATTCTTCATCTTTACATCACGCCTTATGTTGTTGTTGAAGTGGATGGATGCCAAAATGTGTCTAAAACAATAAAGATTTGTGGAAGTTGCAAAACAACTAACATTGTCATATAGGAAATTTTCGCCCACCTGCAATACATTCCAACATAGGAATAATGAATCATTTTTGGAGCAAAATGATTCAGGACAGAATGGAATCCTTCCAAACAACTTGTTTGAGCAACTGGTGAAGCCTGGTGAATTGACTTCATCAGCTGTGGGTGTAACATTTTAGCACAAAGCTTTTCATGAGCAACTGAAGCTTAAACATTACAACAAAGAATGATGATAAACTGTTAGGGAAGTTATCTTTAAATAATGCCTTCACAAACCTTCTAACAAATATTCCCTTGGTTGAATATCAGGGCCATGAAAACAACTTGAAAACAGTGGTTGTCCGAATTGGTGTGCTTGTCTACTATGTGACTCAGGAAAAATTTGAACTTTGCCCAAATTACTTTGCCATCCACCATAATAAACAGCCGAATACTTAGTCGGTGTCCATCGAGCGCGTTTTCTTGCAACAAAATTCACCCAGATTTTACGTCTTCGCTTCGCTTCAGGACGCTCATCATCACCGTAAAATGGTATACGGTAAAAAGAAATTCCATCCGCAGAATTTTCTCGGTTTGAACTGCCGAAAACTGCACATCTATCAGGCATTTTGATGCAGAGCCATAGTAGATTTATTAGAAATTATAGCAAAAATCACACTTCAGAAAAACTTCCTGTCCTTATGTTACGTCACATACTTCTCGATTCAGGCTCTCATCAAGCAAATTGAACGCGCAGCAATTTTCTCCATTATTGCCGATTTTGAGAAAAGAAACGCATTTATCTCATAAACGAAGCCATCAATCAGAAAATTGTAAAATAACTTTTACAATGATTTTTTTACCTCAATCAGAAAATTCGAAAAAAAAATTGTGAGATAAGCACTTTAAATTACTATTTTTCCTTTCAAAGATTTATCGACGTACAACATGTTTGACACAACAAAACACTGAAAACAGCCTGTGTACACCGAGATTAGCGATACTTCGTATATTAATTTAATAATATTATGCTTTGATTGTCATATGCGCACCAGTGCACCATAAAATTTATTTTGCACACCAGCACACCAGTTATTTCATTGTGCGCACCGGAGATCTCGTCGAAAAACGACATAAGCCCGGTTTCCATATGATCGTTTCTGTCGTAAGGATCGTCTTTGTCGCTTGCAATTTGTAGAAGCGACAGGGACGATCATATGGAAACGCTCAACTCAAACGACAAAAGCGATCCTTACGTTAGAAACGATCCTTGCGTATCGATCGTTTGAGATAGACTAGAGTTCTATCCTTGCCACAGAAACGACCGGAAACACCTTTTACGCGCTTGCATTTTTTAATGGAAACCGGTGCAAAACGATCGTTACGCCAGAAGCGACTTGATATATCCCATGATTCATCCGTAATTCCACGTGCGAGATTCCTTATTCAAAGATGGCGGCAATCAACTTTAATTCTACGTCTTCATTTATGGAAGAAGTACAGAAGTATGATTGTTTATATAACAAATTTTCGAAATATTAAAACCCAAAAACGATGTTTTCTTTTTTGCTTTCGCTCTCTCCTTCTTCTCAGCACACGCAAAAGAAAATAACACGCTACAAGTCTTCCTCTTCGATTCACTGCCGCCATTTTGAATATATCATATAGTAAGTGTATGGTGACTAGTTCAAATTAGATACGATGCATACGATTAATGGAAACCAGTTCATCGCAATAATCGCTTCTGTCGTTTGATCACCGCAGGGGACTTTTTTCAACAGACAGAAACGACTCTAGCGACAGAAACGATCATAGGGAAACCAGGCAATACTTTCCAGCCTGGTTTCTACAGCACACACCTCTTTGTGTATTTCTATTCCTCGAAGTGCTTTGCTTGGCTTATGAATAATCCGTTCGCCACCTTCGCTTCTTTGAAGAACTATATCTCTACTGGCATTTTTCTTCTTAATAGTTTTCTACCACGAACACCTTGATTTGTAATAGCATTAACATTGCTTATTGCAGACAGCAACTGCTCATCAATCGTTGGTTTACTCGGCCTACTGCGTTTATGAGACATGTGTTTGCATAAATAAGAGGTGAAACCCCGATGTGTTTAATATTTCATACAAAATACTGATACAGCCATACAGGGTAATGTAGAATATCTTCGCTCCTATAACAAAACAAAATGGCGCGCGCTAAGTTTTTTGGTTTTTTAATTTCGGCAACTGGCAAAGGAGCCACTCATGTCACCAGGCCTGTTGTTTGAATGGACGTTTCAAATTGACTTATAGAGTCAATTTGAGGGTATTTTCACACAATTAGCGTATAGAGTTCATTTAAGGAAGAGACTGGTTGTGTATGTAAGTCGTATGTACTTGTATGTACTCGTATGTCACTTGTATGTACTCGTATGTCACTCGTATGTACTCGTATGTACTCGTGTAGTGTTTTAGTCACGATCATCTCCCACTAATTTATCACGACATTGAGTTTTGTTTGAGATCATACACACATTTTTTTGTCACGTATACAAGACCATTGCACATAAGTTAATTGGAAGTTAAGTAATCTGGAGCAAAATGTAAGTGAATTTCAGTTGAGCTGCAATGTAGATTGAAATTATCTGTTTCTTTTCAATGTTAGCTACATTGCCACGACATCTATATTATAGGTATATGAATGAGACATGCAAGGCGTTCAGAAAATTTAACATACATTTTCTGCACAATTAGTATGAACAATTTAAAAAATGTTCATCCTTAACATAATATTTCTGAATTGATGAAAAGAATAATCTTAAGATGCATTTTAAGATGCAAACTTTTTTGTGTTTTGCATGCTCGCACACGAGATTTTCACCTTAAGTATATGATTTTATATATCAAGAAAATGGCATTAGCTACAAATAGACAATGAGGTCGAAAGCTAATCGCATATTGACCATTCCTTAATTTACTATTAAATTCTAGAGGCAGTTTGATGTTGATTATTGCTATATAAGAGTAACTATAAACAAATACATCGAAATCTACATAAATCTTTGTGAAGGTTTACTTAAAACGAAGAGTTAATTCCTCGTGTGTAGCATGCATATAACAATGTTTTTTAATAGACATGCTTTCTTTACTTTGGTAATGTTAAACTATTTACTAGATGATGAAGATGCTGGATTTGTGGCCATTCACTTTTGCTCACAAAAATTAATTGCGTTAAAGCGACACTACACAAGAAGTCTTTTTTCTGCAACTGATTTGCACATATTACCAAGGAAACTATCTATCACATATTTTTAAAATTATGTCTGTCTGTATTCGCTTCGGGGCGTATGACTCAAAACAATTTCTCTTATATTTCTCGCACGCAATAAATATATTTCTCTACTCTTTACACTCTTGAGTGGTAATTTCACAAAGTTTGGTGAATTAATTCACTTTGTCACAACTTGTCGCTGCGGGCTAAATAAGAGCTTTGAAATGTTTTTATCAATCTGAATGTTTCGATTTTAATGGAGGTTTTATGTTTTAGAAAGCAATTTTAAAAATGTCTAGAAATGGGAATATAACTATGGACTTTTACGATCTGGAAAGGACGAAGGTGCTGTTTAGTTTGTCGTTGAGGGACTGCTTGAGACCATTTGACGAGTTCATGTGTGTTCTTCCATTGCAATAGAATGAAGTTGGATTTGTTTTTAATAAGCATCGTATTGTTATATTCATTTTGCCATATTCAGTTTTTTTATTGATCTCCGCAAGCGTGGGCCATTAAATAGCAAAAGTAAATTGTTTTTGTGCTATTGTTGCTTGAAAATATCATCTACATGCATGAAATTCATAAACTCATTGTAGCAACACATTCAGACGATAAAGAACTGTTTGAAAATTATGAATTTTATCGAAAATGTATAAACACAATCTTTTCTATTTTAATTTGATATACATAGTTATACTACCATTTCTGGGGCCGGTAAATAGGAGCAGTGGCGGATCTAGGGTAAGTCAGAACACATTATAGCACCTCATTTTGAATTCAAAATACCATTACATTAAATCTGCTGGTTAAAACAATTCTAAAGAATATTCTGAAGGCAAAATCTTACCGATATGATCGTTTATAAAGTATTTTAAATTGTAAAAAAAACCATGACCAGACGACAATTTAAATAAATATAGTATAAAGCAAAATCCGAAAAAACAAGACATCTTGAGATCGCCAAATATGCATCAAAACAAGACATCTTGGGATTGCAAAATATGCATCAAAACAAGACATCTTGAGATTGCAAAATATGCAACAAAACAAGACGAGAAGTGAACTGTAAATTTTCGACTTTATTTCAAAGTCATCCTCAGACAGAATGATATTTAAAACCATACATACACATATATATTTACAACGCATGAAATAACTAAACGGAAGTAAGCAATAAATTGTCGGCTTTAAATTGTCGGCTGGTCATGGTTTTTGGTCTAAACTCGGAAACACAGACTCTGATTTACACAATCTATGCATACGCTATCAAATACCACAACGACGTTATGAAAAAGCTCTACCTGATTTGAAATTCTTAATTAATTATAAGAATAATCAAGTCCACCCTAAATTTGTAAGAAAGAAGAACATCACGCACATCTCCAACAAAAATAATACGCATCAATACAGCTACTTTTTTTAAAAGCATTAGGCGCAGGCTGTCTATCTTCCAAAATAGCCTGTTACGTTACAAGCGACATATACAAATTTTCTATTCTGAAACTATTGCGCGAGAACAATTCAAGAATGCTAAATTTTCAGTAGGCGTAATTGGTAACCTGATTCATTTTCCCCTTTCTATATTAAAACATGCGAGGATTTGTCAAAACGCATTACTTGATCACTAACTGCGCCATTTTCTTTCATTTAAGACGACGCAAAACCTAGAAATGTATAGCTTGTATTGTTTTATGGAATATGTATTGTTTTAGCTTGTTATTATCTAACAAATTATTGTAATTTGCATAATTGTCTCAAACAAGATAAGATAAAAACCCAAAAATAGATGAAAGTTGAAAGCCGAGCATTAAGATCTTTAATTAAAGAAAATTGCGCAGTAGATTGTAATACACCGCCATTCCATAAATTCCAACTCAGTAAAACTTGACTAATATATGTTATCTCCCACTAATTTATCACGACATTGAGTTTTGTTTGAGATCATACACACATTTTATTACGTAAACAAGGCCATTGCACATAAGTTAACTAGAAATTAAGTAATCTGGAGCAAATTGTAAGTGAATTTTTGTTGAGCTGCAATGTAGTTATATTTATCTGTTTCTTTTCAATATTAGCTACATTGCCACGACATCTACATTATAGGTATATGAATGAGACATGCAAGGCGTTCAAAAAATTTAGCATGCAATTTCTGCATGGTTAGTACGAACAATTTAAAAAATTTTCATCCCTAACATAATATTTCTGAATTGATGAAAAGAATAATTTTAAGAAGCATTTTAAGATGCAAACTTTTTTGTGTTTTGCATGCTTCGGCACACGAGAATTTCACATAAAATATCTGAACTTATATATCAAGAAAATGGCATTAACTACAAGTAGACAATCAGGTCGAAAGCTAATCGCATATTGATCATTCCTAAGTTTACTATTAAATTCTAGAGGAAGTTTGATGTTGCTTATTGCTATATAACAGTAACTATAAACAAATACATCGAAATGCACATAAATCTTTGTGAAGGTTTACTTTTCAGTGAACTTAACTGACTGGCATTAAACAGTTAAATCAATATTTGATTCCCAGTTTTGCGCAAACTTTAATTACTGAAATAGCTCAGAAGATTGTAAATGCCTACTTTATAGCACTAAGTTAGAGACTATGAGAACAATTTTGTTTGATTTACAAGCACTCTTCTGGTACAATCTAGAAAATAATTACAATAGAATTTTCGATTGAGAAAACATACAAAAGAAACAAGTAAATTGCAAATTCTGAAATAAAGCAGTCCATTTGCAACGTTAGACCACAACATACACTAAAATTAACATTATTGATACTTATACCTGACACTTACATCATGTTTCGTAGCTCACGGATAAAAGGATCATAATTATCAAAACTATGAATATGAACTTTAAGATGCATTCAAAGGGGAGTTTTTTGTGTTTCCTGTTTGGTAAGTTGAATAAGTTTTATTTGTACTCAAGATTTCGAAAGATGACAAACCCTTTAAACGAAAGAATAGTTGAAAAGCCTGTGGTGAATATAATTGCAAACAATTTTATTAATTTTTACAACGAATGCAAAAAATGAATATGTTGGAATTTGAATGAATTTTTCATGTAGCTATTATTTTCATTGTCTCACTCACTATTATAAATTCATGAAGGAGTTATGTATATTCTGCACCTTAAACTAAATTTTCATTTTTAGTCTAACTGCGTTTAGGAAAACACTGTTGTTGATTGTAACTTTCATGGTGCTTACTTAAAGGTATGAATTTGTACATACAAAGCCTAAATATAGCTTTCAAATAAAAGCATTTTAAAGAAGTGCTTGGGTATTAATTTACAATTGGTGTCAAAATTCTTGAAGAAAAACGCACATTTTCGCTGTTCTATAGTTGTTGTGGATTAAAAATAATGTCAGTTATTGAATATAATTTACTGATATTATTGCTTTGTTTTGCTGTTGCTACATTTCTATCACAATTATATGACCTTGGTATCTTTTTTTCAACTTTTTCTCACAAAGCCGTATGTATATATATATATATATATATATATGATAATGATAAGGATTCTCTGGATTTGTTTTAAATTTTTTTTTATTAAGCTTTCAACTCGGTGCTTCGAGCCTTCGTCAGAATGTGACAATATATTATTTACAAAGATTTTGTAGGCGTTTGGAGCGTCTGATTAGTTGGTTAGTAGTTGAGTTGATATTATTGGATGGTATAAGATGCGTTGTCATGGTTTCGGGTGTATCGATTACGTTAATGAAATTCGAGTGTTTTATTTTAGTCGTTGTGTTATTAGTTTGTTGTTTTGGTTTTGTCTTTAGTTGTGAATAGATGATGGGGATGTCAATATGTCTGTTAATTGTGTTGTTGTCTTTGCTGTACCATGCCTCTTTGAATTCTCGTGCGTGTTTTGTCTGTGCGCGTCCAAGAAGTTGTGTTTTTGTCCAGTCAAATGTGTGGTTGGTATCGTAGGTATGTTCTGCTGGTAGTGATTTTGGGTCGCGTCGTTTGATGGCATTCTTGTGTTCAGTGAGTCTTGTTTCAATTTTCTTGGACGTTTGTCCTATGTACTGTTGGGGCAATCTTTACATGGTATCATGTAGACCGCGTTGGTTGTGTCGAATGTCGTTGTTCGGTCTTTATGTTTAGTGAAGTATGATTTGAGTTTGTGTGTTGGTTTATGTGCGATGTTTATTTTGAATGGTCGGAGTAGTCTTGATGTCATTTCTGATGTTCCGTTTATATATGGTAATGTCACTATTTTACTGGTTCGTCTGTATCTTCGTTAGGTTTTCAGTTTGTGGTTTGTTGTGTATTTTGTTTAATACTTTGTTGATAAAGTTTCGTGGGTAATTGTTGTTTATGAATGTAGAGTATAAGTAGTTGCGTTCATTCTTCTTGGCTTCTTCTGTATTGCAGTGTGTTTTAATCCTGTTAAAGAGAGTTCGTATGCAACTAATTTTGTGTTGTGTTGGGTGATTGCTATTAAAGTTGAGTATTTGGTCTGTGTGTGTGTTTTGCGGTATACTTGTGTGTTTAGTGTACCGTCATCTGTTCTCGTTAGTAGGATGTCGAGGAAGGTAAGTTGTTTGTCGTGTTCTTCGTCTTTAGTAAAGGTAATGTTCTTTGTGGTATTGTTTATGGTGTGTAGGATTTGTTCAGTTTTGTCTTTCTTGACTATGGCAAAGATGTCGTCGACATATCTTTTCCATAGTCTGATGTTTGTGTTGTTTGTGACTGATTGTGTTTCGAGGTGTTGCATGACAGCTTCTGCGAGGAAGGTGGATAGTGGTGATCCCATTGGTGTGCCTGAAATTTGTCTGTAGTATGTGTTTTGGAAGGTGAATTCAGTGGCGAGGCAAAGGTTGAGTAAGTCTAGGATGTCATTTTTGTCTAGTTGTGTTGTAGCTTGCCAAGTTTTGTCGTTTGTGAGTAGTTCGTTTGTAATTTGTTTGGCAATGTCCAGTGGTATGGATGTGAAGAGTGATGTCACGTCGTAGGATATCATGATTTCGTCTGGTCGTAGTTTAATGTTTTCAATACTGGCGAGGAAAGTGGTGGCATTTCGGATGGTGTGAGGTGAATTTTTGACTAATGGATACAGAATGTTATAAAGATATTTTGAAAGTTCATACGTGGGAGATCCAGGAAGAGATACAATTGGTCGTAGCGGGTTGTTTTCTTTGTGAATCTTTGGAAGTCCATAGAATTTGGCGGTGGAGGAGTCGTTGGGTCGGATTCTTTTGTAGACGGTTTCGTTAAGTTTCTTTTTGTCTTTTAGTTGTTTTAATTTCTTGTTGATGCGGTTGGTAGTGGTTTTGTTGGGGTCTGTTTGTAGAGGTTCATACGTGTTGGTGTCTTGTAAGAGGGTCGTCGCTTTGTTGATGTAGTCTGATTTGTCCATGTATTTGGTCTGTGTGGGTGGTTTTGCGGTATACTTGTGTGTTTAGTGTACCGTCATCTGTTCTCGTTAGTAGGATGTCGAGGAAGGTAAGTTGTTTGTCGTGTTCTTCGTCTTTAGCAGTTGTAATGTCTTTGCATTGTTTATGGTGGTGGATTTGTCAGTTTTATCTTCTTCTTGGATTGAAGTAAAGATGTCGTCAACATATCTTTCCATAGTCTGATGTTACGGGAAAACAACTACTAAAACGAAACTAAAAACGAAAACGAATTAAAGAAGAATCCGACCCAATGACGCATCCACCGCCAAATTCTTAATACGGACTACCAAAATCTACAAAGAAAACAACCCACTCTTTCGACCTATCGTATCGCTTCCAGGATCAACTACGTATGAGCTTTCAAAATATCTTTATAACATTTGTATCCATTAGTCAAAATTCACCACCATCCGAAATGCCACCACTTTCCTCGCCAGTATTGAAAACATTAAACTACGACCAGACGAAATCATGATATCCTACGACGTGACATCACTCTTCACATCCATACCACTGGACATTGCCAAACAAATTACAAACGAACTACTCACAAACGACAAACGGCTACACACAACTAGACAAAATGACATCCTAGACTTACTCAACCTTTGCCTCGCCACTGAATTCACCTTCCAAAACACATACTACAGACAAATTTCAGGCACACCAATGGGATCACCACTATCCACCTTCCTCGCAGAAGCTGTCATGCAACACCTCGAAACACAATCAGTCACAAACAACACAAACATCAGACTATGGAAAGATATGTCGACGACATCTTTGCCATAGTCAAGAAAGACAAAACTGAACAAATCCTACACACCATAAACAATACCACAAAGAACATTACCTTTACTAAAGACGAAGAACACGACAAACAACTTACCTTCCTCGACATCCTACTAACGAGAACAAATGACGGTACACTAACACACAAGTATACCGCAAAAACACACACAGACCAAATACTCAACTTTAATAGCAATCACCCAAACAACACAAAATTAGTTGCATACGAACTCTCTTTAACAGGATTAAAACACACTGCAATACAGAAGAAGCCAAGAAGAATGAACGCAACTACTTATACTCTACATTCATAAACAACAATTACCCACGAAACTTTATCAACAAAGTATTAAACAAAATACACAACAAACCACAAACTGAAAAACCTAACGAAGATACAGACGAACCAGTAAAAATAGTGACATTACCATATATAAACGGAACATCAGAAATGACATCAAGACTACTCCGACCATTCAAAATAAACATCGCACATAAACCAACACACAAACTCAAATCATACTTCACTAAACATAAAGACCGAACAACGACATTCGACACAACCAACGCGGTCTACATGATACCATGTAAAGATTGCCCCAAACAGTACATAGGACAAACGTCAAGAAAATTGAAACAAGACTCACTGAACACAAGAATGCCATCAAACGACGCGACCCAAAATCACTACCAGCAGAACATACCTACGATACCAACCACATTTGACTGGACAAAACACAACTTCTTGGACGCACAGACAAAACACGCACGAGAATTCAAAGAGGCATGGTACAGCAAAGACAACAACACAATTAACAGACATATTGACATCCCCATCATCTATTCACAACTAAAGACAAAACCAAAACAACAAACTAATAACACAACGACTAAAATAAAACACTCGAATTTCATTAACGTAATCGATACACCCGAAACCATGACAACGCATCTTATACCATCCAATAATATCAACTCAACTACTAACCAACCAATCAGACGCTCCAAACGCCTACAAAATCTTTGTAAATAATATATTGTCACATTCTGACGAAGGCTCGAAGCACCGAGTTGAAAGCTTAATAAAAATTTAAAACAAATCCAGAGAATCCTTATCATTATCATAATATGCCTGGGTTACCAATTTTCAAATATATATATATATATATATATACATAAAAGATAACAGTTTCTCCGGATTTTAATTGATTTTTTATTGAGCTTTCGACTCGTTGCTTCGAGCCTTCATCAGAATGAGGATATTTATTAACACGTGCTTTTAGCTTGGAGACGTATAGAGCGTCTAATTGGATTAGTGGGTGGATTAATGTGATTGGATGGGGTGAAATGCGTTGCCATGGGTTTTGGTGTGTTGTTAATATGATTGGTGTTAGTAATATTAGAGTGTAGTGTTTTAGTTTTGGTGTTGTTTGTAGTTTTTTTGTCCTTTTTCTTTAGTTGTGAGTATATGATGGGTATGTCGATATGTCTGTTTATTGTGTCGTTGTCTTCACTGTACCAAGCTTCTTTAAATTCGCGTGCGTGTTTAGTCTGTGCGCGTCCGAGTACTTTAGTTTCTGTCCAGTCGAATGTGGTTGTTTCCGTGGGTATGTTCTGCCGGTAGTGAGTTCGGATCTCGTCGTTTTATGGCGTTTTTGTGTTCTGTTAGTCTTGTTTCAATTTTCTTAGATGTTTGTCCTATGTATTGCTTCGAACAGTCTTTGCATGGTATCATGTAGATCGCGTCAGTTGTATCATGAATTGTTGTTTTGTCTTTATGTTTGGTGAAGCATGATTTGAGTTTTTGTGTAGGTTTGTGGGCGACGTTAATATTAAATGGTCGAAGAAGTCTGGCAGTCATTTCTGATGTTCCGTTTATGTATGGTAATGTGACGATTTTTACTGTTTCGTCCGGTTTTTTGTTGCTTTTGTCGGTTTGTGTTTTGTATTTTGTATATAGTTTTGTTTATGAAGTTTCTAGGGTAGTTGTTTTTAATAAATGTGGAGTATAAGTAGTTGCGTTCTGTTTTTTTGGCTTCTTCCGTATTACAATGAGTGTTTATCCTGTTGAAAAGTGTTCGAATGCAGCTTATTTTGTGTTGTGTTGGATGATTGCTGTTGAAATCGAGTATTTGGTCTGTATGGGTGGTTTTGCGGTATACTTGTGTGTTTAGTGTACCGTCATCTGTTCTGGTTAGAAGCTAAAGGCACGTGTAAATAAATATCCTCATTCTGATGAAGGCTCGAAGCAACGAGTCGATAGCTCAATAAAAAATCAATTAAAATCCGGAGAAACTGTTATCTTTTATGTATTCAATGCCTGGATTACAAATTTTCAAACTTATATATATATATATATATAAAATATTATTATGGATAATATTCCTGGATAAAAGAGCGCTCAATATTCTATATATTAGAAGAGCGTAAGATAGAACATTTTAAATAAACGTTCCGATATGTTTAGTGCATGCCGTCATGTAACTTAACACCTTTTAGTCGATGTATATAGTCAGCAAATAAAATATTATCTGTCAGTTGCCTGAAGATCACCCTACAGCGTGAAACTCTGAGTAGCGACAGCAAACAATTGTCCATTTTATTTTAGTTCATTTTATCTTACGCTCTTCTAATATATAGAATATTGAGCGCTCTTTTATCCAGGAATATTATCCATAATAATATATATATATATATATATTTACATTTATTTATATTCTATAAGTAAAAATATGCAAGATATCTCTTACCCATCCTTCAGCAACCACCGTGTGGCGGAAAAAGCAAAGCATGAATATCAGTAAATTATATTCGATAAATACCAGCAATGAACTCAGCACTGGGACGAAAATTGCGCCAAATGATTGTTAAAATTTATTGCAGGGCTGAGTTATTAAAGCATATCTTGTCTGATTGTTGTCGCTAAGACATTATTTTTTTGTTCTGAATTTCGCGTGTTTATTAGATTATATTCCCGTTAATTTCTGTTCGGCTTGGAGATGAGATCTTCCATGTAAACACAATAAGTTTTAAACCACTTAACGGGCCTCAGTTCAGCCCAGAGTTGAAAATGCTTAATTTATAGTAAGACTAAATCAGCCCCTAAAACGTTTAAAATAAGTAAGTGGAGCATACTGATCAGCATCCTCTGTAGGTAAAACATCATCCATCTCCCTTAAACACCGAATCTGTGACTTGTAGCTTACAACTACGCCAACGGTAGACCCCTTTTTTTTCAAATTGTCTTTTTCTGCAGATCTTTGGTTTCTCAGAGTGGCATTATTGCTTCTTTGGTTGCCAGTTCCGGTATGTTCATCGGATTGATTTTCCAAGGTGCTACAACTAGGTCTGTCTCTTTTACCTTGAAAGTTGACGTTGCCTTGTTCTCCTGTTAATACGGACAATGAATATAACAGTTGGCAATATTACATGTATAATTCAAAACTGATAATACAATAACCATAAATTCATTACTATTTCAAATGAAAACAATGTTTAGATAAGATGTTTATATCTTCAGAAATATGTCTTTATGATGCTTCATGAAGAGTATGATACTTTGTTCACTCAACCGATCAATCGAACGCGTGTTTACATGATTAGAAACAGGCAATATTCTACAACTGTAGTTTTGTTTCAACTATTTCCTTTATAACATTTTGATAGGATCTTATTGCACATGATTCTGTGCGACTGCGATTAAACTATGTTTAATCTTTGAACGCGGAGTCATCGCAAAGAGCAAACGTTTAATTGTATTCTTGGTTAAACTCGCACCATGCGTATAAATTCTTTGTGATTTTGGACGTTCTGTTAAATTCACGCCGATATTTATGTAATCACAAAAGCTCGAAAGAAATTAAATACACGTTTTCATAACATTTCCCTCACTGGAGCACTGTGACCATAGAGACCATAGAGACCATAGAGAGCATATGTGCAAGATAAGCAGTATCAATCGATCAAACTGACTTAATACGGCAATACGGCAGGGTGAATCCATTTCATGTGTTTTTCGCCAAACGAGATATGTATAATTGATGCCAGTGATCACTCAATTTTACTATCTACTGTATTATGTTGTTTATGCCTCATATCTATTCGAATTCCTGAAGTTTAAAATTAAACAGAAACTTACAGAAGTTCCGAAAGGTTTTATGTTGTGATTGTACGCTCGCCTTTATTCCGTAAGCCCCCCCCCCGAAATTGATAACAGACAGACAGACACAAATCAAGATTTCACCAGTATATAGGTAGGGGGGGGATGGGTCGAGTCATGTCAAGAATAGTGTGCTGCTACGCTCATGCGTGGCAGCAATATAAAACACGTTCTTCATCACGTGTGTGTAGCAGCCAATCGTATTAATAAAGTTTGAATTTAGATGGCTCGTTAAATTAATGAAGTACACGACTTCTCATGCAATAAATAGATATTATTTATATATTTTAGTTCACAGCTTGTTTAATTCTTGTATACAGTGTATGTTCCAGGAACTGGTTCATTTTTGTTTTTTTCAATCGTACATGACCCCATTGAATTGGCGTTGTCAAGTTTAAATCATCACTGAGTCATAAAATTTTCACTGATTAAGTAATTCACACAACTAAAAACTCGCTAACGTTGTCAAAACTATTGCATAATTCGTACTTCGTGGATAATCTTGAATGCAAATGAGCTTGGACTTATGCGAGATCAGACAATTTTTCAAGCATATATATTTTACCTAAAGACAATTTCATTGATTATCACGAAGTTGACTATTTTTCTGACAAATTTACTATTATGTAGAGTCATTTTTATTGTATTTCACAGGTTCCTTGTAGAAAAGAATGGCTGAATTTTCAGGTAAATTATTCATTTTCACGTAGCTTTATTACACAAGAATGACTAAAAGTGATCTTAAATTGAATGGTTTCTTTTAAGATGAATCTCAAAAAAATATTGCACCGAGAATAGCTGTGCAAATTAGCCCGACGTATTATGTTGTTATGGGTAATAAGAATTCGGAAATGCTGACTGATGCAATTACTGAAGCTTGTCGAAGTGGATATCATGTTCTCAGTGAGGTGTGTACAAATTTCTCTTTTAAGGTTTCAGGTAATACACAATAAGCTGTTCTTTTTAGAGCCTTTTAAACTCATGACAAAGAGCACTTAAATTAGACTAATGAAGACAATTTCGAAGGGGTTTTTGCAGGGCCGGATTAATAATGCGTGAGGCCTGTGGCACATTTTCAGCGTGAGGCTCCCCAACATTCCACACGTTATAAAGTACTTTTAGTTCAGAGATACAAAATTATTAATTAAATGAGGATATGATCTTCGCACTTTTGCTGGACAGTTTAAGCAATTGTCTCATGAGCCTGAAAAATTCAGGTGACTCAACGGGACTTGAACCCATGCGATGCCGGTGCAGTGCTCTAACCTACTGAGCTATGAAGTCACACACAGTGGAGAGTGGTCAATTTGTTGGACTCATGTTTTCCCGTGAAAGGAATGTCATATGAAAGAATGTTATATGCAGTGCGGTTGACCGCTCTCCACTGTGTGACTTCATAGCTCAGTTGGTTAGAGCACTGCACCGGCATCGCAGAGGTCATGGGTTCGTTGAGTCACCTGAATTTTTCAGGTTCATGAGACAATTGCTTAAATTGCTAACATTGATTACATGAGAAGCTGTTTACTATAACCTGTGATTTTGAATCTTCTGATCCATGAAGCTTTTTATTTTGACAATTTGACTGGAATGGTATTAAACCTGAGTATTTCACATACATGAAATGTTGTCCCATGTCACATATTGTCCCCTTTTCTAACTGAACACCTCATGTAGAGATGTAAAGGTGTGTTAATGTACGGCTCATACCAGATTGTTTGCCATAAATTCGAAAGGGCTATTGATGTATGAAAAGCATTTTCTATAAAGTAAAAATGTCTTTCTATGTATGCAGATAAACCTTGAAATTTGGCAAAACAGCAAAGTATTTTTCATGATCACTAGGTAATTTTTCTGATGATCATTATAACTGGTATGAGCCATAGATCAACACACCTTGACATCTCTACATGAGGTGTTCAGTGAGAAAAGGGAACAATATGTGACAAGGGAGAACATTTCATGTATGTGAAATACTCAGGTTCAGTGGCGGATCTAGGGTATGTCAAATCAGTCACGCAACTGATGTTTATAGTAAAAAATGATGTTTATAGTAAAAATTGTTTATAGTAAAAAATTTGGATTTCATCGTCAAAATTTCTGTTTTATATATGAAAACTTATACAAATACCACCTTAGTAAGCAGATCAGTAGATAAAAACATATCTAGAATTATATTAACTGGCTGACTGATAAGCGGGGTGGCTCGACTGGTTCGACCGATAACGGAGTTGAAGAACGTTTATTTAACCCATTCCATTGGTCAATAGCCAGATCAGGGGACGATCTGGAGACGAGTGAGCACGGTGCCATCAAGTAAACTGTTATAGTGGCAAGAATCTCTCGTCCATACGCAGTTTAAAAGAGATTTGACTCGTCTCCAATCCCTGTGGGCTTGATAGCCCAACAGGTAGAGCGGCGGACTAGTATCCCGAAGGTGCGAGTTCAAGTCTCGTCCAAGTCACATGTTTTTCATGTGCATATTAAAAACCGTGTTAGGATTAATACATTATGTATTACTGTGATTGGTTTGACCGATTTCGACTGATTTTCTCTTTCTGGTGAGAAAACTGAAAACAATGTTGGCTTGCTTTAGAATATCAATGACTGAAGTGTCGCTCGCGAAATCGTCTTTGCCACGCATTTACAATTTATCCATAAATTTTTCACCCTCTAGAAAAAATTCAAAGTTTGAACATCAGCATTCATATCGATATATGAACTTGTAAAAGATTTCCATAAATTCCATCTGATTGTAGTTTAGTTTCTATCTTGCTTTAAAGAATTACTATGAAACGATCAAACATTCAAGTCAGACAATGAGCTTGACTATGTTAGTTAAGTTGGCTATCAGTCGAAATCGGTCAAACCAATCACATTAAGACAAAAAATTTAAACGAACCAATTACACGAAAGCAGTTGGACTCCCTTATCGGTCCAGCTACCCCGCTTATCGGTCGATATTATTTCAGATCGTCCACTGATCTAGCTATTGACTAATGGAATGGCTTAATTAAGCGTTCTTCAACTCCGTTATCAGTCGAGCCAGTCGAGCCACCCTGTTTATCAGTCAGCCAGTTCATATAGTTCTAGATATGTTTTTATCTACTGATCTGCTTACTAAGGTGGTATTTGTATAAGTTTTCATATATAAAACATTGCAAGTGCAGGTCGTGATAAGAATTGTTCCTAATACACGCAATGCTTCCTTTTGAAAAGAAAACTTATAAGGTAAAGGAGTAACATCGCTAAATGTTGAACTGACTTCTTGCTTCTTATTGTACCAGATCAGTTGCCACATTTTCAATTCGCTTTCTACAAAATCCATATCGGGAATATCATCTTCATACTTATTAAGAAACCGGGAAAAGCTCTCTTTCCATATTGAGTTAGAAACCACGGAAGAAAGCATCACAAACATAGCGTCTAGAATATCATGGTTCCCTTCCAAAAATCGAGATTTTACCTGATTGACAATCTCGTCTAGGAAAGGTATAGTAACTGCTCTCTTGAAATACTCTGACGGAGAAATTGCAGGGATGTTTTCACGATGTACTTGTCGTGCTGCAGTTCCAGGTTTCGTTGGAGCTACGTTTAATTCGCTGGCAATCTTGACAGCCACTTCATATAGCTGTGTGTGAGTGGTATTCACGCTAACATGCATATCATTTAAAGTTAAATAAAGAAGAGAAACTTTTTCCCTAGCTTTTCCAGGATCAAGGGAAGAGGATTGAAGCTTGAGAGTCAAAAGTTTGGTGCATTGAAGACACGACTCGACCGCAACAAGACAAAGAATAAGTTTAAAGTTTTGAATTGCGTTGTTCATTCCAGAAGCTCTGTAACGCACATCTTGCTCGTATGATGCATGCGCTGAAATTTCTTCCAAAGCTGCTATGATCTCACAGTAACTATGTTTGAAAATGGTCAAACCATTTATTCTTAAAACCCATCTTGTGCGGCAAACATTAAAAAGTTTTTGTTGGCGGGCAGTGGCGACAGTTCCTTAACTTTTTTTCAAACATTATCACTCGTTTTAGAGAATTGTTAAAAAAATCAGATACTGCTCTTACATTGTCCATCATATCACGGACAATCTCAATTTTACAAGCGGCCACACAAATGTTTAAAATACGTGTGCCGCAATGGACATAGATTGCCTTTTCGTAGTTTCTTTGGATGCGAGACGCAACTCCCGATAGTTTGCCTGCCATGTTTGCTGCACCATCATATCCTTGTCTGCGAAAGTCTTCCGGTTTTAAGTCTAACTTACCAAGAAACTTTAATATTTCCTCAGCTAATTATTCGCGAGATAGATCATGTTTGCACGGAAAAAATGCAACAAATTCTTCACGTATCTTTAAAGAATCGTCAACAACACGTAAAACAATAGCTAGTTGTTCCACATTAAAGCAGTCAATGGCCAAAATCGAAAAATACTTAGCCTTCTTTATCTCACTTACAATAGCATCTGATATATAAGCCCCACAAATTTCAATAATTTCATTTTGTATTGTTTTTTATCGATACGTTTGATTGGATAGACAGTCCTTGAAAAGCAAATCCATCATATCACCACACCTAGCGCCGTACTTTAGAAATTCTATGAAATTTCCTGGGTTGGTGTCGTCGTTAACAATGTAGTAGCAAGCATCATCTCGATGACCACGAAGAGGAATATTTTGTCGACCTCATAATATAATGGCATCAATAATTGACCGTAGGCGCTTTCTGTTTCTCCCAATCAGTTCTCTTTTTGCATTACAAATTTGCACATCAATTTCTATCTTCTTTTGTTCCATCACCTTTTTAAAGTCGTCTGCTCGAACAGTAGCAGTTTTGTAGACCATCGATGACGAAGCATGGGCATTAAGCCTCTGCACTGTAGATCTAATGGGTAAAAGAGGAGAACTTTTTAATCTTTCAAGCTTACACAAGCTATGTGTTGTCTCACTACAAAAAGGACACAATTTATGCAAAAACCACCATTAACAGCTGCCGAGTAGACCAACCAACTGAGTTTCGACAGCCAACGATGCTGAAATCGGTTTTTCTTTCCATTAAAATAAACAAAAGGAAAGTCGTAGGTTTCACCCAGCTTCCAAACATTACACAAAAGATCATATTTAGCAGCATCAGAAAGTTTATTGCCACGGTTGACAAAGTTATATACATCATTAGAATGAACATTCCTCTTTTCACTGTTATTTGTGGACTCATGTTGGTTAGCTGTTGCGTTTCCCGAATCCAGATCTTCCACTTTAATGTTGATATTTACTGGATATTCTGTCTGATCGTGTGGTGTTACCAAATTTGATGATTTTTCCGTACCACAGGTGCTACTTCTTTTCTTAGAGAGCAAAAAATCCAAATTAGTTTGCTTTGCTGCTGCTTAGGACTTGATTTCACATATAATGCAGGAGACTTTGCAACTGCTGTATTCGATACTTCTGTAGGTTTTGGAGACATTATTTCATGTGAATTTCTTTCTGAGACAAAAAGTTTATTTGAAAATACAAATAAAAATTGACATGCCTAACAGGAATCTTTAAATTTGATCTTTTGACTTCACAATTTGAAAATTGCAGTTTCGAAAAGTCGCGAATCAGGTATTCTCGGTGAAAATGATTTGTACATTGCTCTTGAAGCAATTTTAACGCTTCAACTATTTCACTTGATTTTGCTTGGCGGCAAAATATCTCTTCGATTTTCTCCAAAACTGTGGCCATATGCCCCTATGCTACTTGTAAAAGTCGTTTATCGACGCATAAGCCGAAAAATTACATTTTCTTTACATTGATCATACAGCTTATGAAGTTTTTTTTGCGTATAGATTCAGATTTTGTTATAATTCAGCGGAATCTCTTGCTCACTGTTGCCAAACTATTGTCATCTGACAAGAATAGCGACTTTTGATTCGCTGGCAGCACTGGACTGTTGCGACCATGCTAAATTTAGCAACAAAAAGGCTGCTGACTGTTGCCCAAAAATCGTGTGTGCAGATCTACGAGCTCCTTCCGAAACCTAAAAAGATTTTCGGTATACACACGCGCAAACCTCATGAACTAATTAACCTATGCGGGCTCTTCCCTACAGCTGACACAATGAATATATTATTTACATCTACTTATAGTCGTATAAATTTTTTCTTTGTTAAGTCATTCTGCGGATGTATATCAAAATATATTTAAAATGCCAGAAATATAATTACTGCAGCTTTGAGCTGAGTGATAGTAGCATACAGCTTAATATGTAACGCCAAGTGTGACTGTTGCCAAGGCAAGTTTGACAACACACTGGATCAGCCCCGTGCATCAGATCTAAAATTCTGTGTATCTATTACAAAGTAGACATCGGGAAAATGTAATCTATTGTTTAATTTCAGAAATTCTTCTTCTTTTTCTTTTACACAGCTCTAATCTCCAAAAGTCCAAAGATAGCCTGCTTAAATTCTATTCTTTCATGATTTCTTTGTAATGTTAATCTTTTTTCATTTAAATGTTCTTAGTCACAATCTACCCATCTCTTCCTTGATCTGCCTCATCCTCTTGTTTCCCCTTTATCTTTAGTTCCATGACATCTCGCAATGATTTTTATATGGGTCTTCTTATTTCATGTCTATACAATCTTAAACTTGCTTCTTTTCTCTTTTTAATAATGGTTGGCAGACAAAATCTTCTTATAATGTTATTTTTTATTTGTCTTTCGTTGATAATATTTCCACAATCATCTCTGCATCCGCATCTCAGTTTTTTCCATCAAATTGTCTTTCTTTCCCTAATTGTCCTGTATTCAACCCCATACAACAGCCCTCGTGTTAACTGTTCTGTAAATTTTACATTTTGGTTTAATGGAAGCTTTTCATCACAAATAATTCCTTTAATTTCTCTCCATACTATCCATGTCCATTCACTTTCTGCTTTCCATGATCCTCCTTCAGCTTCTTTGACTAAGTCCAGCCATTTAAAGTACTCAACTTGAAGTAGCTCCCTTCCTCTAGAATTTCCAACTTCTCAGTATGCATTTTCAAACTTTGTTCCAATCAAGGCTATATTATCCGTAAAGACAAGCTCTAACGGTGTTGCTTTTTTAAATATGCCGAAGCAGAAAGGGCCTAGTTCGTAAAATTGATGGACATTCACTTTATCTCAAACCGTCCGAATCACCAAAGGGCTTTCTAATATTTCTAAACACCTCTCATACATTGCTTTAGAGTGTACAAAACACAAAATTTTGTAACCTTTCATTCCATCACGTTTGCTAGCACCTTGAATCTCACTTGAAGCAATTTTATTTCTCTGAAATTTTAGATTTGGAACGGGTCTACTTTATCTATAAGAATTCTGATCAGATAGCTCATAGTCCATAACCCCAAAAATCAGTTCCATGATTTTTTAAGCAACATTGTAGCCATTCAATCCCTACAATATCTTGTCCCTCAAATTGCTCCTTAGCAATTCAAGTGGGTCCAGTTACTTTATGACAATTTTTAAACTCTCAACTACATCCTTAAATTCCTCGATAAAAAAATTCTCTCTTTCATCCCGTCACATGTGTTACACGTGTTTCAGTTTATTTCTATGTATAGCTATTTTCTATATCTTATTCTCCCATTCTTCCGTTTCCAGGATTTCATATCACAATTTTCAGGTTCCTTCTTTGGCTTTTGCCACAACTTGTTTTGCCTCTTTCTTCCACTTCCTGTATATCTAGACCATCGTTCAAACCTTTGTACGCTTTCTCTATTTCTTTTATCGCAGTCTGATCCTCATCCATTACCACATCGCTTCTTTCCAATAACAGTTTTATTTTGATTTGCACATACTACTACTGCAGGTTCATGCAACACTTCCCACATTGTACCTAACATCTCATTCCCAGTTTGCTCTTTCCACTTTTTCTTCCTGTATCGCTAATTCACAGACACAAAAATAAAAATATTTCGGGTAAGACAATGCAAGCAGCTTTTATGCTAATTTTGTTTCAATTCATCAGGTGGCCTACCAGGAAGAATGAAAGGTAGACTTAGCGAAGCCTGTACGGTTGGTTGTGGTGGATACGCTAATGAATATGGCGCGGCAATGGCTGGTGGATATGGAGAGGTAGTAAGAAAAATGACATTAGCAAGACAAGTAGTGTTCAACATGGAGTCGGGACAAGATGCTCAGGTAAGTCATATAAATTCAAACTCAATGCAGAAATATTTTACAAAGCCTGCATGTCAGAAAAGAATGAAATCTTCTTGAAACTTATTTTGTACTATATAGAATTCGGTTAAGAACGCAGTGGAAAAAATGAAGGAGCGCTTACCAAAGAGTGGTATTGGTTCTGCCATTGCAATCGATCGAAATGGTAATATTGGCATTCATAATACAGCATCCATAATTTGGTCTAAAAATGTTGGTGGAGAAGAATGGTGTGGCACAATGATAAGGCCAAAAAAACAACAACAGCAAACCTGAATAGAAGAAAGGCAATTTTCCAAGAGCCAATGCATTTCGTTATAAATTTTCAATTTCTGTAGCATTATTTTCAGAGAAAATCTTTAAATTTCCACGAAATTTATCGAACTTCTTAAAAAACTTGCCATGTTAATACTTTTTCAAGAATAATTGCACATTACTATTAACTAGTCATACTAAATTCAATTGTTTAATAAATAACTCTAATGCACTTACGATTTTCAAATTAAAAAAATATAACTCATCTTCACCACAGAAAAAAATAGCATTTAGTTGTTCGTGAATCACGTTGCCTTCTATTTAGACACAAGTTAATTCCACAAAGATTGTATGTTAAGCTTGCTCTTAGATAAAGATCGTCCTTTAAGGATCATATCAAGAAATGAATTACAATGTTTAGCACATACCACCTACATTTGGTGATTTGGTGTGCGGTCAAAATTTTCCAAGAAATCATGCAAAGAAGCCTTGCTTACAACTTCCCATCGTTTCAAAAATGAAAAGTGCTTGTCCAATACAGAAAATATAATATTTGAATGTAAAGTAATAATATTTTTTAGAAAATACGAAGGTTCCTATCTGCGGAAACAGTGAGTTGATAATTTAATGGCAGTTTCGTTTGCTTGTTCTCCGAATTCGACCTTAACAACAGTTGTTATGGTTGTGAAACCGGTCTTTAGATTCGCCACTGAAACTGTTAGAATGTTTGACACTGCAAACAGTAAACAAATCAAGTCGGTCTTTTCGAAACAGCTTTTTTGAAATCGCATCTTTTTGGAACGCTATGTAAACCTTGAAAAGTTCAAGCTACTAGGTTATAACTCATAAGAAGATTTGCAGACATTTTTTTAAACAAGATTTAGTGTAAGAATGGGCTAAATCAAATTCGAATGTTCTCGGAACAGAGTTGGAGCCTCAATATAAGCTGGAAAATGTTTCCTATTCACCTAGCTGAATTTATGTGGAAAATGTTTCATGATAGCAGGCTGACTTTGGAAACTGGATCAGTCTGCTATGTCATATGAACACGTGAATTTTAACAGTAAATTCATGGCTAAGCAAGATCGTAAGCAGGTTGTGAGATGTCTCGCTAATAGGGCTTGCATGAGCTAATCCTGACGTGTGTACTAATATAATATTTATGAATCGATAATTGAAATACAGTTTTTAATACAGTTTTTAATATGCACATGAAATATGCCTAATACAGTTTTAATATGCCTAATACAGTTTTTAATATGCACATGAAAAACATGTGACTTGGACGAGATTTGAACTCGCACCTTAGGGATACTAATCCGCCGATCTACCTGTTGAGCTACCAAGCCCACAGGGATTGGAGACGAGTCAAATCTCTTTTAAACTGCATATGGACGAGAGAATCTCACCACTATAACAGTTTACTGAATGGCACCGTGTTTCGACTTTATTCCAAAGCCATCATCAGAGAATATATAATATATTAATCCTAACATGGTTTTTAAAATGCACATGAAAAACATGTGACTTGGACGAGATTAGAATTCGCACCTTCGGGATATTAGTCCGCCGCTCTACCTGCTAAGCTACCAAGCCCACAGGGGTTGGAGACGAGTATTTCATATGAGCCTTTAAAAATGACAATATAAATTGAAAGCCTTAGGTGAATACAATTAAACAAAATTTCATTATTTTTCGTAATCAACAAAGAAGAAAAATTTGTTGGAAAGTGGCTAATTTGCACTAGGTATATATTACTTTAATTAACTCATTAATATTAAGCCCTTAATGACCGAGCGTGAGGTCTTTACGGAGAAATAACGGACCAAAAAATATACCAAGGAGCACATCTTTGGTATATTTGATTCAGTCTCAGCTGTTGCAATTCACAAACATGGACACTTTGCATGTGCAAGGTGAATGGTTTCTATTATGATTGAAAATGCCATTCTTTTCCGAATTCACAACTATTAATATATTTTCACCCTAGTTTTAACGTCAAATATAGTATTATCTGCATTTACATAAAGAAAGGCTGTTTGTTTCCCATGATCTTCAGATTAATAATATTTCGGTTTTGTTCCTTTTGTTCCTCTGTTATCCATGATCCTCCCACATGCTTCATAACTAAGCACGGGTAATAAAAATCCTCTTCTTGAACTACCTCTCTGCCATTCGTGTCCTTTATTTCCTCCTTTGTTATGCCAATCGAACTATATCATTCGCAAACACTACTTCGCACGGTATTGCCTTTTCCATAAAACCAATAAATGTATCTAGAACTAAGATGAACAGAAAAGTGCGAAGTACTTACTTTTTACGAATGGAAACTTTATCTCAAACTCTTCCGCATTGTTGAAGAGCATTCGTTTCTTTATTGACATCTTCTCATACGTTGCTTTTACTACCATTTTTTCAGAATCTTCCTTTTCTTATACATCAGAAGACCACGCTTCCGAGCACTTGGACGAAGAATTTCATTTGCACTTGTCAAAAAATAAACATTGCATGTAGTACTGTTCTTTCTGGTCAAAAATCATGCTGGTCGTTTTCTATCGTCACAATCTTTCTTAATTTTATTGTCCACCATCTTCTTTAGCAACTTTAACCTCGCGTTTTTTGGCCTGTGAAGGTGTCTCTTTTAATGAAATAAATTCTTATCAGATAACTTATAGTTCAAGTCATCATAACTGTTTCCTCTTATGATTTTGTAAACAACCCTGTTAACTAATTTCTCCTTAAAACTGCATCAACCCTTTCAAGAGCTCTGCAGTTATTCTAGAAGGTCCCGCTGCTTTACATTGTGTTTCTCTCCACTGCTTTTTTACTTGCTCGGCCACAGCCAAAACCTCAATTTGGCACAAATATACCACTTCAATTTTATCCAAGGCATCTTATTCATATTCTATGTTCAATAACATTGAAAGTATTATTTTTTCCTTTCCTAGTCCAAAGTGAGGATTTTTCTATTTTTGTCTTTTTATATCTCTTTCAAGTTTACTTATATGTGTAGCTATTTTATATATCTTACCTTTTCTTCTTTTGTTTCTACATTTTGAAGCTACTCTTTCCAAGCTCCCTCTTTTCTTCTTGCAACTACACATTTTGCCTTTTACTTTAACTTCCTGTGTCTACCTGATTTTTTAGACCATCTATGAAAGTTTTATACACTCCCTTTTTTCGTTTATCCAGTCAATGCAAGCACATCTTAAGCTAATTCATTTTGTTTCAATTCACCAGGTGACCTACCATGAAGACTGAAATGTAGACTGAGCGAGGCATGTACGCTTGGCTGTGGTGGATAAGCTAATGAGTATGGCACAGCAACAGCTGGTGGTTATAGAGAGGCAGTAAGAGAGGCAGAGTTGGGACAGGATTATCAGGTAACTTCAAGCATATCAATAAGAATTCAATCCGCGATATTTTACGACATTTGAGTATCATAAAGGAATGAAATAATTTCCACACTTATTTTTCACTACTTAGAGCACTGTTAAGAACGCAGTACAAAGAATGAAAGATTGTTTACACGGTAAAGGTTATATGTTTCTGCAATTGCAATTGATCGGAAAGGTAATATTGACATACATAGTACATCCATAATTTGGTGAAGAATTGCCGGTGGAGACGAATTGTGTGGTGCAATAATAAGACCAAAAAGAAATCAACAAGCATGACTAAATATAACACAAAAATGGCTTAAGATCGTAATGGGAGTATTTTAGCCTTAATTAATGTTTAGAAAGTTCTGACCAGCATCGTAAATAAATACATTTAAAATAAAATGGAGCTTCTGTACTTTACTTAGACCTACACATGATCCACTCCTGGTTTGAGAACATTTTGCCCAAATGTGTTCCAGTTGACGCTCATCCTTCCCCGTCTTTGTCTCCACATGATTAATCTTAATTTCCTCAATACTTTCGTATACAACAACTTTTAATTTCTTCTTTGAATATATTTTGAAATACTGGATAAATTAACTGTTGTCTCTCAATCGGTCATGCAAGAACTGAATTTGTAAATATGAAGGGCATCCTTTGCGAAGAAACAAACGAGAGCCAATTCACTCATGCCAGATTGCTAGACGTAGTTAACCTATGGCTTTGCGTCAAGAGTGAACTTATATCACAAGCTCGACGTAAGAAGATTCAGAGTTGATACATACAAAGAAATATTCAAAATTATTATGATCTTATTAGATAATCTAATAATGACAAATCAAATGATAATTTTTATAGAGGGAATTATAGAGATCTTCTTTAAAGCTTTGTCAGATTGGATTAAGTCTTTGAAAGGTGTTTGCGTGGTGGGCTTGCATAATCTAGCTAAGTGCGGGGGGGAGAGGTTACTGGCATGTTAGTAGATATTCAAATGATTTGATTGCTTTCTTAATCAGATCATTGATTATTCTTTTGAAGATGTTTTCAATTCACTTACTAAGTGTACGAATTAATGAGACTACTGATTTATGAATTAACTATAATTATTGCATGGATAAAAAAAGAAATATAATTTAAAAGCAGCTTGGATTTGAAAATGCGGAGTATGATAAAAAAGCAGCTGATAAATCATCAGTGGTAAATGATAAATTGAATAACCCTAAAAACCTCAAAAATATACTTTTTGTACAAACGCATGATACCTTAGTTATGTCGGGTCATTTCAAGCTCAATTTAATCTGTCTGGACATCTCAAGCTCAGCTTCAATTGGCACATCCTTTTGCTAAATTTGTTTTTATTGATTGTGTTGTCCATAGACTATATCCTATATCATATTGCGGTTTTAGGCTTTGCAAAAGCCTCAGACAATGGACTTCATCAACGTCTGTAGAGGAAATTTAATTATTTTAGAGTTTGTGAAAAATTACTTGCTTGGTTCGACCGTTTGAGTCTTTTCTTTCACAATGTTATAAGTCTACTAACTGTGAAGACAAAAAATCTAGCCAAATACCTGTGATGTAATGTGTCCTTAAGTGTGCTGCTTCTATTTTTATCATATTTCAACAAATCTATATTGCCGAATAATTTATAGTTAGCTCTGGAACTTTTTGAACATCCAATATTATACAGTGTCATTACCAGTGATTCAGATTATGATTATTTACAAAACAATTTAAAGAAATAAGACCAGAGGCAAAGATCAGAACGTTGAAGATAAAATTTTTGAAAATGATTGCAGTTCACTAGGTATACATGTGGATGAGACAACTGATTTATCTACCAAAAAGAAACTAAGTATGACATCAACATCAATATGTCTTACGTCCAGAGTAATGCTAAGTTAGAATACAATAAAAGTATGCCCACCACTGAAGTGGAGCAAGGGCAAATTGCCTGTGATTTTGAATGAACATGAAATGCTTGCTCATAAACAGGCCACTTATTAAATTCATGTTTGACGCAAATAACTTGTTTACAATTACCAAT